TCAATGGCTCGACCCTCAGCGTCAAAAGCGAGGACACTAGGGGTAGCCATGACGACGACAGTGTAGCAGTGCAAGCAGTAGGGGAGGGGCACGCAGTAACAGTGGTGCTGTGCTCACCAGGCAGGGCAGGTCGGGCGGCTCGGCAGTAGGGTGGCCCGGCGGCTGGGCGGCTCGGCGGCTCGGCTGCTGGGCGGCTCGGCTCCCGGGCGGCTCGGCGGCAGGGCGGCTCGGCGGCAGGGCGGCTCGGCGGCTCGGCTCCCGGGCGACTCGGCGGCAGGGCGGCTCGGCAGCAGGGCGGCTCGGCTCCCGGGCGGCTCGGCTGCTGGGCGGCTCGGCGGCAGGGCGGCTCGGCGGTCGTAGGCGGCGGGGCCGGTGAGGATAGGCGGCGGGGCCGGTGAGGATAGGCGGCTGGGCCGCGAAGTGGGGCGGCGGGGCCGCGTAGGTGAGGGCGGCGAGGCCGCGAAGGCAAGGGCGGCGAGGCCGCGTAGGTGAGGGCGGCGGGGCCGCGAAGTGAGGGCGGCGGGGCCGCGTAGGCAAGGGCGGCGAGGCCGCGACGTGAGGGCGGCGAGGCCGCGAAGGCAAGGGCGGCGAGGCCGCGTAGGTGAGGGCGGCGGGGCCGCGAAGTGAGGGCGGCGGGGCCGCGAAGGTGAGGGCGGCGGGGCCGCGTAGGCAAGAGCGGCGAGGCCGCGTAGGTGAGGGCGGCGGGGCCGCGAAGTGAGGGCGGCGGGGCCGCAACGTGAGGGCGGCGGGGCCGCGCAGGTGAGGGCGGCGGGGCCGCGTAGGCAAGGGCGGCGAGGCCGCGACGTGAGGGCGGCGGGGCCGAGACGTGAGGGCGGTGGGGCCGCGTAGGTGAGGGCGGCGCAACGGGCCGCTAGGGGCGACACGGAGGGTCGCTAAAAAAAAGAAAGCGCGCCTCGGGGCGCGCTTCGGTGGGCCCTAGAAACAGTCCCTAGGAGGGGACCTGCTCTGATTCCATGAGAAAAGGAGAAAGCGAATGGATGAACTATGAATGAAGTGAGTACATATAGGAAACCCTAATTGGGTTGTACCCCCTATGGGATACCCCACTATAGCCTACACAACAGCATAAGCTATATGTATGTTCTGACACGTATGGCCCCGGATATAGGCGCCGTCTGATTAAAGGCGCCGGCGCCTCTATCTGGAGCATGGCGCTTATGGCCGGAACTCGATTATAAGCGCACCCCCTGAAAATTCTATCCTTATTATAAGCGCATCCCTTAACCTTTCATTGGAGGCATTACAAAAGAATTTACTAAATTGTCACTTTTTTCTAAGTAACATCAAATTAAGCTAGATCTCCTAACAAGTTTAGCCGGGGTACTTCTACCTACGGTAACATGGATCATACAGTAACCCTCCTACTCCTCCTCGTCAGATTCGGGCTCCTGGCAGTTGTTGCCAAAAAAACCATCAGCGATGATGTCATCGTCGACATCCACTTCAGCTGTCAGCTGGCTCCGCCTGTGCGCCATGGCGAGTCCGTCCTCACTGCCGTCAAGATGGTTGCTGATGCCACAGGTGAGGAAGGCATGCTTGATGAGGTCGGCGGGCACTGCCTTCGAGGCTTGTGATACCCACCGCAGGACGACCTCTGGTGAAGGCTTCTTCAGGTTCCCTGAAACATTACGGGAGAACGGTGGAAAGCAGTTAGTGCAACAACAAAGAATTCGGGGGGGGGGGGGGGGGGGGGGGGGGGAGGTGGAATACTGTACTCATGCCATACCTGCTGCCGTCAGCTGCTCTTGCCCCTCTGCCTCAAACCACCTCTGGTACTGCTGGCGGACCGACGCCTTAAAGCTCTTGTTGATGCAGACATCGAGCGGCTGTACCTCCGCCGTACAGCCCGACGGGATGATCGCCGGCACGCAGTTCATCTCGCGGAGCTTCTCCTTCACCTCCTCGGTGAGGTGACCGCGGTAAGAATCCAGCACCAGCATCGAGTTCTTGGCGTGTCTGCCGAACCGAGGCTTCAGGAACGGCTTCACGCACTCCTCAAGCCAGCGAACGACGCCAGGGGAGTCCATCCACCCGTTCTCGTGGCAAGCCACGGCCACATCTGCATGAAACACGCATGGGTGGTTAGAATTCAAACTCTGAAAGGAACTCAGTGACCGAGCCGTGCACCTCTTTACTTACCGGCAGGGAAATCGCCCTTCGGCAAGGTTTTGCGCTTGATGAACACCCACGGCTTCAGCTTCCTTCCGTCCGCCGTGCACGCCAACATCACGGTCACTCTCTGCTTCTGATACCCCGCGCTCCTGATAGGCACCGAGCGAACACCCGTTTCCTCCACGGTGGTGGTGGCGGGCATCTCCAGCCAGAGCGGCGTCTGGTCCGCGTTGATGATCCACGCGGTGTCGATGCCGCGCTCACGACGCTTGGCACGCACGAACTGCCAGAAGCTCTTGCACTGATCAGCGACATCTGCACGGCGGTGGAAGAGACGTCGGACACAGACGGAGGGCGTTAGTACAATTAAAGAAAATCAACGTGCCAAATTGAACGGGGTAATTCTCACGCGCTGCGGTTTTCTGGGCAACCCGGGTCTTCATGCGGACGCTCAGATTCCATCGCCGTCGAAAGCGCTCCGACCACCTCTGGCTTCCTTTCCACTTCTTGTCCGGGTACAGAAGCTTCATGAACTCCCGCGACCACTCCTGCAAGCGGCCGACTGACACGGCGGTTCCCTTGCGGCGCCACTCGAGTAGCTTCTCGTACACCTTCAACTCCATCGGCCGGTACCACGACGCTCGCCCGCGGCCGTGCATGCGCTTCCGAGAGGAGTGAACATCCTTGAGGAATTCCGCCGCCCGCTTCCAGTTGGTGAGACACTTCCGGTGGATTCCGCTCTCGCGAGCCAAGGCGCGCACCGACACCGCCAAGTCCATCAGAGCAACCCACTTCAACTTCTCCGCGGCGGTGTAACCTTGCCGCTTGTGGTCGGTGAGCTTGTGCCTGGGAGAGGGGGGGCGGGCATCACGGTTCTGTGAAGAGGGGTGGGGTCGCTTGCGATTATTCGGAGGATAGGTTGGTATGGGCAGTTTCTCGGGTAGCCCGTCGCGTGACCAGTACTCAACGTCGTCGTCGTCAGCGTCGCCCGTAACACCTTCTGGAAACACATCGTCAGCGGTGCCGCCCTGGGCGCCGCCCCCGGCGGAAGCCTCCGTGCCACCCTCGACGCCGTCAGCGCCGCTCGCTTCCTCTGCGTCAGCAACATCATCGTCGGCGCCGACCGCAGATTCGTCCCAAGGGCAATCGTCGGGCTGTCCCCAACGTCCTCCAGGAAAGTGTTCCACTTCCACGTACTCATCTTGCGCCTTGTTAGACTCCGGTTCGGAGAGGTATTCGTCGAACGCCGATGGGAGCAGTATCGTGAGCACGGGCTGATTGCCAGTGAGTTGCGGAGACACAGGACCCAGAGGCGGAGGAGCAAGAGGAACAGGAGGCGCAGGAGGTGCAGGAGGCGAAGGAGGAGCAGGAGGCGCAGGAGGCGCAGGAGGCGCAGGAGGCCGTGGTGGCTCTGGTGGTTCTGGTGGGATACGGGAGTACCACCCGTCAGCGTCTACTCTAAACGCGGGCCTTCGCGTAGGCTTTTTCTTGAACAAGAAGTGGGTGCCGCTGAATCCCGCCATGGCGGCGGCAGCCAGGCGAGAACTACCAAGAAACCGAACGAGAAACTGAGAGAGATGGAGAACAAATGAGAGATTCAAAGGGACCCCTTCTGGTTAGCGCCTCGGGGTCCTCGTCGGGGAGAGACGGGTACCCCCTGTCTGAACCCGGAGAGGAGGTTATCGCGGCACGAAGATGCTGCGCTGGCAGGGCATTCCAACCCCTTCTCGATGGTTCGGGTGAAATGCAGCTGCCTGCCAGCGCATGAAAGCCTGATTGGGCCGCAAGGCAACTTTCACGTCAGCGCTGGCAGGTGCGCTGCTCGTGGACGGGATTTGTGCGGTCGGGAATCGAAGCGCAGCAGTTTTCGGCGGGATTACATGCATTATCCCACGCGCATGTTACTCGATTGTGTTCGCCTTATTGCGGGCTTCGATTTGGTACATAAAAATAACAAATTCATTTTTGCCATGATATAAGCGCCGGCGCTTATGGCCGTTATTCAATTACAAGCGCCACCCCTAAAAAAAATGATTTTATTATAGGCGCATATGCGCCTATATCCGGGGTAATACGGTATATTATCTGAATGCTCTATGGCATGGAGCTGAAGCTTTCATTTAGTGCCCATGCAAGATCCTTCCCATTTTACTGTACCTCGAACCTACTCAATCTTCAAACCGTGGCTTCCCGTCGACCAATAAGGAATCCCTTCACAGCACCTAGCTATCGCTTGCTCACCAGCGTACGAAACACTGACGCGCGATGTTGCTTGTCGGGGATTGGTGTACGACCGCTTGGCGACTGTCAGCCGTTCGCAATAGCCATCTCTGTCCCCCCCATAGCCCACCACTCATCCGCTCTACGACAACCACCACCGCGCAGCCTGTCTTCCTCGTCGCTCTCCACAGCATATGCGCGCAGCGCACGCTTCACTGAGGCGACCCTCCCTCCCCACGCCTGCCACACCATTCAGAACCCCGACCGATTCTGAATCAGATGCGTCTTGGCTCGGCTCAGCCTGCTCCACCGCCACCACTGTCAACACAAACACCCGACTTGCACAAATCTTCCAGCGGACTGACACTCCCCTCCCCCGTCATTGCTTCGCCTGGCTGCCTACCGCAAATGCCCCTCCGCGCAGAATTCCGCCTCGCCTCCTCCGCTAACGCCAATAGTTCCCGCTGACGCCGCCTCGTCAATCTCGCGACTCCTCCCCCTCCGCCTCCGCCTCCTCCCCCTCCTCCGCCACCGGAGGAGAATCTTTCACCAGCTGCCACGACTACCGCCGAGTCGCATCCTGCAGCGACACGCCGAGCCCGCAACGTTTAATTAAACGACTTACGTCCTGAGCTGAGCGAGTCATTATGCCGCCGCATGACGAACCGCAAAGCAACGATCACAATTTGCCATACGATCACGAAGCAGCGGACGAAGGAATGCTAGCCACCCGCACCGCCTCCGCCGCCGCCGCCGCCGCCGATAGTGCTGACACTCCAGTGCCCGTGACGCGGCGCGAAGAGTGGGGGTGGTACCTGTACGACGCGGCGGTGTCCGCGTTTTACTCGGTGGCGCTGCCCGTGTTCTTCCCGCTGCTCCTCAACCAGCTCGCCGCCGACGCCGCGTGGCAGCAGGCGGGGCAGCCGCGCCCGCCCGACTGCGGCGTCGACGGCGTCGCCGTGAATTGCGCGCAGTGCGTGCCGGGCGAGGGAATGCAGCTGCTGACGTCATCTGGGTAGGTGAGAGAGCGGACGCGCTGCGACGGATGGAGGCGGGGACTCGAAAAGAGGGTTACTGGCGGGGGAAGGGGAAGATGGGGGAATGGGGACGAGTGGGATGGCTGAGCTTATTGGGGACGCAGCGTGTGGAATTGAGGTTTGTGGGGGAGCACTGTGTTGGGGTGACGTGGGGATGACGTTGGGGTGACGTCGGGGTGACGGAGGGGTGACGTCGGGGTGACGTCGGGGTGACGGAGGGGTGACGTCGGGGTGACGGAGGGGTGACGGAGGGTTGGCGGAGGGGTGACGGAGGGTTGGCGGAGGGGTGATGGAGGGCAGTGTGTTAGGAGGTGGAGATGGCATGATAGTATGCGCTGCTCGCCATCCCCACACCTCATGGGACGGTGACCGCACTCCCGTTCCCCATCCCTCGCTCCCCACCTCCCGTCCGCACCCTTCTCCCCACCGCCCTTTCCATCACTCTTCTCTCCCTCAATCCCCGTCCGTTGCCACCCTTCCCCCCTTCTCCCCTCTCCCCCCATTCCCCGTTTTCCCCCCAGCTACTCGCCGCTGCCGAATCCCAAGGTGCAGATGGGGGCGGCGAGCATGGATCCAGTGGCATTCGCTACAGTCACATTGGGGCTGTCCGTGGTGTGCCAGGTGGCGGCCTTCATCACCCTCGGGCCCCTCGCTGACTACGGCATGGGGCGCATGCGGGTGAGTGGGGATGTGGGATGTGGGACATGAGGGTGGGCGGATGGGAGGGTGGGAGTGTGGGGGTTTGCTGATGGGAGGGTGGGAGTGTGGGGGTTTGCTGATGGGAGGGTGGGCCTAGGAGGACAAGTGGAGGATGCAGGTGGGCGGGGGATGCAGGTGGGCGGGGGATGCAGGTGAGCGGGGGATGCAGGTGGGCGGGGGATGCAGGTGGGCGGGGGATGCAGGTGGGCGGGGGATGCAGGTGGGCGGGGGATGCAGGTGGGCGGGGGATGCAGGTGGGCGGGGGATGCGGGTGGGCGGGGGATGCGGGTGGGCATTGTGTGACCCTTATTGAAGCAGTGTTGCACTCCCTCCTTGCAAGGATAATAGCCCTCGCAAGGTGATGAGGCGTTGCAAGGTGGTGGGTGGGGGATGAGGGCGGGTTGAAGGTGCAAAGATGGGGGACAGCAAGCTGATGTGTCGTTGGCATAGATGCATCTATGATGGACACGCGCTGGACCCATGGTCTGGATGACATGTGCATGCCATGCCATGCCACGCCATGCCATGCCTTGCTCCTCTGTGCCCGCCTCTCCCCATCCCGCCTCTCCCCATCGCGCCTCTCCCCATCGCGCCTCTCCCCATCCGGCCTCTCCCCATCCGGCCTCTCCCCATCGCGCCTCTCCCCATCCGGCCTCTCCCCATCGCGCCTCTCCCCATCGCGCCTCTCCCCATCGCGCCTTTCCCCATCGCGCCTCTCCCCATCCCGCCTCTCCCCATCGCGCCTCTCCCCATCGCGCCTCTCCCCATCGCGCCTCTCCCCATCGCGCCTCTCCCCATCCAGCCTCTCCCCATCCGGCCTCTCCCCATCCGGCCTCTCCCCATCCTGCCTCTCCCCATCCGGCCTCTCCCCATCCGGCCTCTCCCCATCCCGCCTCTCCCCATCCGGCCTCTCCCCATCCGGCCTCTCCCCATCCCGCCTCTCCCCATCCGGCCTCTCCCCATCCGGCCTCTCCCCATCCCGCCTCTCCCCATCCCGCCTCTCCCCATCCGGCCTCTCCCCATCCGGCCTCTCCCCATCCGGCCTCTCCCCATCCGGCCTCTCCCCATCCCGCCTCTCCCCATCCGGCCTCTCCCCATCCGGCCTCTCCCCATCCCGCCTCTCCCCATCCGGCCTCTCCCCATCCCGCCTCTCCCCATCCGGCCTCTCCCCATCCGGCCTCTCCCCATCCGGCCTCTCCCCATCCGGCCTCTCCCCATCCGGCCTCTCCCCATCCGGCCTCTCCCCATCCGGTCTCTCCCCATCCGGCCTCTCCCCATCCGGCCTCTCCCCATCCGGCCTCTCCCCAACCCTCCATACTTTCGAGTTGACTCAGCACATCCCCCTTCGCTTCCCCGTCCGCTCCCCCGTAACAGCTGCTACAGGGTGGCACAGCCATGGGCATAACAGCGTGTGCTCTCTGCATGGCGCTGGTGTCACCATCCCTGTGGTGGCTCTCAGGGGTGCTGCTCATCACGGCCAATGTGGGCTATGGTCTCGCCATTGTCGCCTACTACAGGTGTGTGGGTCCCGTATGCATGACTCTCCCTGCTACTACACATATGACTCTACCTGCTACTACACATATGACTCTACCTGCTACTACACATATGACTCTACCTGCTACTACACATATGACTCTACCTGCTACTACACATATGACTCTACCTGCTACTACACATATGACTCTACCTGCTACTACACATATGACTCTACCTGCTACTACACATATGACTCTACCTGCTACTACACATATGACTCTACCTGCTACTACACATATGACTCTACCTGCTACTACACATATGACTCTACCTGCTACTACACATATGGCTCTACCTGCTACTACACATATGACTCTACCTGCTACTACACATATGACTCTACCTGCTACTACACATATGACTCTACCTGCTACTACACATATGACTCTACCTGCTACTACACATATGGCTCTACCTGCTACTACACATATGGCTCTACCTGCTACTACACATATGACTCTACCTGCTACTACACATATGACTCTACCTGCTACTACACATATGACTCTACCTGCTACTACACATATGACTCTACCTGCTACTACACATATGACTCTACCTGCTACTACACATATGACTCTACCTGCTACTACACATATGACTCTACCTGCTACTACACATATGACTCTACCTGCTACTACACATATGACTCTACCTGCTACTACACATATGACTCTACCTGCTACTACACATATGACTCTACCTGCTACTACACATATGACTCTACCTGCTACTACACATATGACTCTACCTGCTACTACACATATGGCTCTACCTGCTACTACACATATGGCTCTACCTGCTACTACACATATGACTCTGCTACTACACATATGACTCTACCTGCTACTACACATATGACTCTACCTGCTACTACACATATGACTCTACCTGCTACTACACATATGACTCTACCTGCTACTACACATATGACTCTACCTGCTACTACACATATGGCTCTACCTGCAACTACACATATGACTCTACCTGCTACTACACATATGACTCTACCTGCTACTACACATATGACTCTACCTGCTACTACACATATGACTCTACCTGCTACTACACATATGACTCTACCTGCTACTACACATATGACTCTACCTGCTACTACACATATGACTCTACCTGCTACTACACATATGACTCTACCTGCTACTACACATATGACTCTACCTGCTACTACACATATGACTCTACCTGCTACTACACATATGACTCTACCTGCTACTACACATATGGCTCTACCTGCTACTACACATATGACTCTACCTGCTACTACACATATGACTCTACCTGCTACTACACATATGACTCTACCTGCTACTACACATATGACTCTACCTGCTACTACACATATGGCTCTACCTGCTACTACACATATGGCTCTACCTGCTACTACACATATGACTCTACCTGCTACTACACATATGACTCTACCTGCTACTACACATATGACTCTACCTGCTACTACACATATGACTCTACCTGCTACTACACATATGACTCTACCTGCTACTACACATATGACTCTACCTGCTACTACACATATGACTCTACCTGCTACTACACATATGACTCTACCTGCTACTACACATATGACTCTACCTGCTACTACACATATGACTCTACCTGCTACTACACATATGACTCTACCTGCTACTACACATATGACTCTACCTGCTACTACACATATGACTCTACCTGCTACTACACATATGGCTCTACCTGCTACTACACATATGGCTCTACCTGCTACTACACATATGACTCTGCTACTACACATATGACTCTACCTGCTACTACACATATGACTCTACCTGCTACTACACATATGACTCTACCTGCTACTACACATATGACTCTACCTGCTACTACACATATGACTCTACCTGCTACTACACATATGGCTCTACCTGCAACTACACATATGACTCTACCTGCTACTACACATATGACTCTACCTGCTACTACACATATGACTCTACTTGCTACTACACATATGACTCTACCTGCTACTACACATATGGCTCTACCTGCTACTACACATATGGCTCTACCTGCTACTACACATATGGCTCTACCTGCTACTACACATATGGCTCTACCTGCTACTACACATATGACTCTACCTGCTACTACACATATGACTCTACCTGCTACTACACATATGACTCTACCTGCTACTACACATATGACTCTACCTGCTACTACACATATGGCTGTACCTGCTACTACACATATGACTCTACCTGCTACTACACATATGACTCTACCTGCTACTACACATATGACTCTACCTGCTACTACACATATGGCTCTACCTGCTACTACACATATGACTCTACCTGCTACTACACATATGACTCTACCTGCTACTACACATATGACTCTACCTGCTACTACACATATGACTCTACCTGCTACTACACATATGACTCTACCTGCTACTACACATATGACTCTACCTGCTACTACACATATGACTCTACCTGCTACTACACATATGACTCTACCTGCTACTACACATATGACTCTACCTGCTACTACACATATGACTCTACCTGCTACTACACATATGACTCTACCTGCTACTACACATATGACTCTACCTGCTACTACACATATGACTCTACCTGCTACTACACATATGACTCTACCTGCTACTACACATATGACTCTACCTGCTACTACACATATGACTCTACCTGCTACTACACATATGACTCTACCTGCTACTACACATATGACTCTACCTGCTACTACACATATGGCTCTACCTGCTACTACACATATGGCTCTACCTGCTACTACACATATGACTCTACCTGCTACTACACATATGACTCTACCTGCTACTACACATATGACTCTACCTGCTACTACACATATGACTCTACCTGCTATGACTCTACCTGCTACTACACATATGACTCTACCTGCTACTACACATATGACTCTACCTGCTACTACACATATGACTCTACCTGCTACTACACATATGGCTCTACCTGCAACTACACATATGACTCTACCTGCTACTACACATATGACTCTACCTGCTACTACACATATGACTCTACTTGCTACTACACATATGACTCTACCTGCTACTACACATATGGCTCTACCTGCTACTACACATATGGCTCTACCTGCTACTACACATATGGCTCTACCTGCTACTACACATATGGCTCTACCTGCTACTACACATATGACTCTACCTGCTACTACACATATGACTCTACCTGCTACTACACATATGACTCTACCTGCTACTACACATATGACTCTACCTGCTACTACACATATGGCTGTACCTGCTACTACACATATGACTCTACCTGCTACTACACATATGACTCTACCTGCTACTACACATATGACTCTACCTGCTACTACACATATGACTCTACCTGCTACTACACATATGACTCTACCTGCTACTACACATATGACTCTACCTGCTACTACACATATGACTCTACCTGCTACTACACATATGACTCTACCTGCTACTACACATATGACTCTACCTGCTACTACACATATGACTCTACCTGCTACTACACATATGGCTCTACCTGCTACTACACATATGACTCTACCTGCTACTACACATATGGCTCTACCTGCTACTACACATATGACTCTACCTGCTACTACACATATGACTCTACCTGCTACTACACATATGACTCTACCTGCTACTACACATATGACTCTACCTGCTACTACACATATGACTCTACCTGCTACTACACATATGACTCTACCTGCTACTACACATATGACTCTACCTGCTACTACACATATGGCTCTACCTGCTACTACACATATGGCTCTACCTGCTACTACACATATGACTCTGCTACTACACATATGACTCTACCTGCTACTACACATATGACTCTACCTGCTACTACACATATGACTCTACCTGCTACTACACATATGACTCTACCTGCTACTACACATATGACTCTACCTGCTACTACACATATGACTCTACCTGCTACTACACATATGGCTCTACCTGCTACTACACATATGGCTCTACCTGCTACTACACATATGACTCTACCTGCTACTACACATATGACTCTACCTGCTACTACACATATGACTCTACCTGCTACTACACATATGACTCTACCTGCTACTACACATATGACTCTACCTGCTACTACACATATGACTCTACCTGCTACTACACATATGACTCTACCTGCTACTACACATATGGCTCTACCTGCTACTACACATATGGCTCTACCTGCTACTACACATATGACTCTGCTACTACACATATGACTCTACCTGCTACTACACATATGACTCTACCTGCTACTACACATATGACTCTACCTGCTACTACACATATGACTCTACCTGCTACTACACATATGACTCTACCTGCTACTACACATATGGCTCTACCTGCAACTACACATATGACTCTACCTGCTACTACACATATGACTCTACCTGCTACTACACATATGACTCTACCTGCTACTACACATATGACTCTACCTGCTACTACACATATGACTCTACCTGCTACTACACATATGACTCTACCTGCTACTACACATATGGCCACTGCACACGGTGCTACCTGCCCTCCCAGTCCCTCTGGTGGCTCTCATGGCTGCTCCTCATCGCCACCATCCTTGGCTACTACACGTGTGTCAATGCTGAGATACCGCTTCCCCTGCACACGCCATTGAGTGCTACAGGTGTGACCTGCACACACACATATCGGTGCAGTGTGCACACATAGCTGTGCTTTCTCGCCTCGCCCGTGTAATGAGTCGTGTTTTGAGTCGACTCAAAACACTTGCTCGCCTCACCCACACGTGAACGCCTGCTGGCTCACAGCTGCCACTGCACCACATCTTCCCCTCCCCATTCCCACCCCCCTCCTCCCTGCCCCCACTTCCCCCCACCTGCTACCTGCCTGTGCTGGTGTACCCGGCTCCTCCGTTGCTGCTTGCACCACAGCTTGCAGTGAACGCCCAAACAGCAGAGCTGCAGGTGCTGAGTCTATTTTTCAGTCGACTCAAAAGCAGACTCATCAAACGCCCAAACAGCAGAGCTGCAGGTGCTGAGTCTATTTTTCAGTCGACTCAAAAGCAGACTCATCAAACGCCCAAACAGCAGAGCTGCAGGTGTTGAGTCTATTTTTCAGTCGACTCAAAAGCAGACTCATCAAACGCCCAAACAGCAGAGCTGCAGGTGCTCCTCATTCAACCCGTTCCTTGTCCCCACGCCTCCCTTTCCCTCCACTCCACCTCCTCCCTTGCCCTCCACTCCACCTCCTCCCTTGCCCTCCACTCCACCTCCTCCCTTGCCCTCCACTCCACCTCCTCCCTTGCCCTCCACTCCACCTCCTCCCTTGCCCTCCACTCCACCTCCTCCCATGTCCCTACCTCCCCTCACCAGCTACCTGCCTGTGCTCGTGGATGCGGCTCCTCCAGTGCTCCTCGCAGCACAGCTTGCAGCGAGCGCCCATGCAGAGCTGTCTTGTGCTGCCTCTCTCACTGCTGCTGCTGCCCGTGTGCCTGGTGCGGTGGAGGCGGGGAAAGCAGCGGAGACAGAGGCGGGGGCGGATAGGCCAGCAGAGAGGGAAGCAGAGGAGGCCACAGAAAAGGCACCAGTGCAAGTTGGTAAAGAATACGAGCAGGCAGGGATGGGAGAGCAGGAATTGATGGGGAAGCAGGCGTGGGCGGCTGCAGAGGCGCACACACATGCAGGCGTGGAGAGCAGTGGCGAGGCATTCGTTGCCGTGGACTCGTGTGCGAGAGACTCGTGTCGGGCGGATAAGGGGGACCTGTACACACCGCTTCTCGTCGCCCGGGACCAGGTGACCCCTGCATGCTGCTTCTTGAGAGTGGCGAAAGTAGTGTTTTGACACATCTCAAAAAACACTGCTTCTATCATAAGGGTGACCTGTACACACCGCTTCTTGTCGCCCGGGACCAGGTGTGGTGTGAACTGAATCTTTAGCTGCGACTTGATAGTTGCGAAATACCCATGTTGCACTGTTGGGTGGTGTGAACTGAATCTTTAGCTCATGCCTGGTGGCAGAGGCAGGAGGGAAGAGCAGGGACAACGTTTTCTAGTGCAGCTCACTTTGCCTTCTTTTCTCCCACAACATTGACATTCTCCCTCCTGCTATTCCCCCCTTCCCCTCTCTCCATTCCGTCCACTCCCCCTACCCCTCCCCTAGCTCCAGGAGAAGAACCACACGCATGTCACTCACAGGCAGGAGTCGCCTGTTCCAGCATCACAACGCTGCTCTCTCAACCCACCAACTCCCTCAAGCTCCCTCCCTCATTTCTTTCCACCCCCTCCTTCTCTGCCCACCAGGAGGAGAATCGCATGTCACTGTCAGGGGTGGCCTGTGCCAGCATCGCCTCCTCACCACGCTCCTTTCCACCCACCAACTCCCATGCTCTCTCCCTCATCTGCCCCCAACCCTCCTCCCCTCCCACCAGGAGGAGAATCGCATGTCACTGACAGGGGTGGCCTGTGCCAGCATCGCCTCCATCCTCGCCACGCTCCTCTCACCCCACCATTCCTATGCTCCCCTCATCTTGCCCTCCACCACTGCCTTCCCCCATCCCCCCAGGAGGAGAATCGCATGTCACTGACAGGAGTCGCCTGTGCCAGCATCGCCTCCATCCTCGCAACGCTCCTCTCCTTCGCAGCCACGCTCCCCGTCTCCTCCGACTCCCTCAAGCTGCGCCTCGCCCTGCTCGCCTGCGCCCTCTGGTGGCTCCTCCTCTCCCTCCCCACCTTCCTCTGGCTCCTCCCGCGTCCCGGCCCACCCTTCCCCCCTCCACCCCCCCTCCCCTCCTCCTCCCACTCCTCCGCATGCCACCGCACCGCATCCCACCTCGCCGCACGCCTCGCCTCCGCCCTCTCCTCTGCCTTCTCCGGCTGGCGCCACATGGGGCGACTCTTCTCCGAAGCCCGCCGCTACCGCTCTGCCTTTGCCACGCTCTGCACGCCGCTGCTCTTCTACCTGCAGCGCTGGATGCACCCCGTGCTGACCAACAAGGCCATGGTCATGCTTATGCTCGCCGGCATGCTGCCGCTGCCGCTCTGGGAGTTACTGGGCTACCTCACGTCGCCGCAGTCCATAGGGCTGAAGGCCCCTTGGGAGCTGTTTGTGTTTGCGTGCTGGTTTGGGTTCTTTCTGGGCGGGCTGAACGCGTACTCGAAGACGCTGTTCATTGACATGATTCCAGTCGGGCGCGAGGCGGCATTTTTCTCGCTCTACTCTGTGAGCGACAAGGGCTCGTCGTGGCTGGGGCCGTTCATCGTTGCAATCATTGTGCAGGTGGGTCTGCTTGTCCTCCGCTTCCTCCGACTTCTCCTTTCTCTTTTCTTCCCACTTCTCCACCTCTCCCTAGTCATGCCTTGCCCTGCCGTGGCCACATGGCACCCTCACTGCATCACACCACACCTTACCAGACAAGCCAACTTGCATTCACATGCTCACAATGGCTATCTCAATTGTCTCATTACAATCACATTGAACTGCCTCCCTGCCTGCCTGTGCCATTGCAGATTACGGGTGAGCTCCGCCCCAGCTTCCTCTACGTCTTCCTCGTCATCCTCATTCCCTTAATCTGCCTGCACTTCTTTGTCAACCACCAGCAAGGCATTGTGGATGCCGGTAGGGCCGCACACCAACTGCATCAGGTGGCAAACCATGACGACCAATGAATGAACATGGAATAGCTTGGTCTGATATATGAGGAAATGTGATCTTTCATCATGCAAAAACTGAGAATTGTGATTAGGGCACAGCTCACCAAAAGAGCAGACGGTGCCGTGAACCTGAGAATCAAATACAGCACTGAAGGACTTCGTGCCTAGTCACCATGGTAAACTCTCAATTGAAATGTAGCTGTTTTACGAGTATGTAACGAGGGTGACAAACGTTTTCTGATTTCGCTTCGCAAACCTACGCAACCGTCTTACTATCAAAACCGTTCTAAAGAAAACACTTTCTTGTTGGTGAATGTACGGTGGGTGAGGTGGCACGGTGCCCAGGCGATGCATCTTGTCGTGCCAGAATTGTATCGCGAGCCACGTGGGACAATTGTAGCCGTTTGTTTCGTGACACTCGAGGTCGAGGGCACAAATGGGTGGTCAGATTAGCGAAGGGTTACTTGATTACAGGTGACGAATCAATCCGTGTGACCGCATTCGCTGAAGTGTAGGAGAATAAGCTCTAGGAATTCCTGGTCCGCAAGTTCTGGCTTGCATTGCAGTTTCAACAAGACGCACCCTGCTCGTCGTGTCGCCTGACAACCAATTTTAGCAGTTGTTGATAAGCGCAGTATTGTACGCGAAACACAGTAATTAATAAATTCGCCTTCCATGTCGCCCTCTGTCGCTTCCGTGCTGCCAGAGCGACTCGCCATGCCGGCCGCCGCTTCAGCCGCTACCTGCGCCCCTGCGGCAACTTCAAGGCGGCTAGCCACTGCACCGAGCATCGTTTCGTGCCGCCACCGTCCCGCACTGCGCCGCCAGAACTCGCTGCAGCGAGCGATCGGGCATTCCGCACGATCAGCTGGTTCCAGACCGTCGCCTACGACGCCGGCGACGTCGCCCAGGGCGAGCAGCTCCGCCGCGTCGCCGTCGCCAGCGTCGCCACCGTCGCCCGCCGTGACGCGGCCGAGTCGCACGCCGCACAGCGGGTACCACTACGCGCCGAGCAGCAGTAGCAGCAGCGGCGGCGCTGATAAGCCATTCTTCGAGGGGTGGTACTTCAAGGTGTCGCTTCCCAACTCGCGCGACTCGTTCGCATGGATGTACTCCGTTGAAAATCCCTCCGCTCCGCCCCCCGCAGCCCCCTCCGCGGCTTCCCCCGGAGCGCCATCCGCTTCCCCCGCCGGCGAGCAGGCGGAGCGCGCGAAGGGGGGGCTGCCGTGCGTGATGATGCAGGCGATGGGGCCGGCGGTGGACAGGCAGGCGGAGTGGGGGCGCGGTGACGCGGGCGCGGAGGGCGGGGGAGATGCGAGGGACTATGTGTACCAACAAACGGCGGACACGGGACGATTCTGGGGAGGTGAGCGCGGGGGAAAGGAGTAGGCCGGTCAGGGAAGGTCGTGTTCCTCCCCCCTCCTCCTCTCCCGGCCTAGGTAGTATCCCAGGCGGAGTGTTTCTCCCCTCTTGTTCCCTGGCGCCTCTTCTCCTACTGCCCCCGAGAACCTACCCTAGTCCTCTCTTCGCGTAACCCTTTCTGAGCCCCATCGTCCCCTATTCTCTCATCTCATGTCAATTACCCATCCCCTTCTCCTTACTCCATTCCCTTTCCTCCGCTCCATCTCCCCCCTTACTTTCGGCCCACTCCCCTCTAAAGTGCGGCACGAGTTGGCTCTAGGCACATGCTTCCAGCCCAGGGAGGGGCAGGTGTCGCCTCTGGGGGAGGTGTCACCTCAGGTGGGTGGTACTGGCAGCAGGGGAGGTGCCGCCTCAGGTGGGTGGTACTGGTAGGAAGGGAGGGTTGATCGGTACGCTGAGCTTATTCACCACATACTTATGCACACTCTATATTGTGTAAATGTAAACCACAGGTTTAGTTTTGAGTCGACTCAAAACTTGCTGAGCTTATTCGCCATACTTATGCACACTCTATATTGTGTGAATGTAAACCACAGGTGTCCACCGTTCTTCCAGACACATGTTTATGCCCCATTTGTATTCCACGTTTACGCAACACGCTTGTTCAACGTATCCACATACCACATCTATATACCTGATCCGTAGTACTTACACACCGTCTTACAGGGCTATTGGTACCTTGAGCGGCTTAAGGGGGGGAGGAGAGATGCGCATGGATGAGAGGGAAAGGAAAAATAGGGGAGTGAGAAGGAGCATAGATGTGAGAAGGGCAGGGCGAGTGTGGTTGAGTGGGTTGGGGCATCCACTGGGTTGGGGCATCCACTGGGTTGGGCCTTGGAAGGGTAGGCACATGTGGGCATGAGTGAGAGTGACTGGGTTCGGTATGCTGTAAGGCGCCTGAAAACACGTGGGTGGTGTTGTGTGCTGCTGTGTGCGTGTTGGTGTTTGAGCTTGCTGTGTGCGTGGGGGCTGTATTTGCTGCGGCTGACATAACAAGTGCGCATGCCTTGTCCTTACATGTGTCTTGTGAGCAACAGGAGTTTGAGGCACGGGTGCAGTATGGATTTCAGGTCACGCCCTTCCTGCACCTAGGCACGCTCAAGAACCAAGATGATGGCAGGTGATGATGGCAGGTGATGATGGCAGGTGATGATGGCAGGTGATGATGGTGGTGGTGGTGGTGATGGTGGTGATGATGGTGATGATGGTGGTGATGATGGTGATGATGGTGGTGATGATGGTGGTGATGATGGTGATGATGGTGGTGGTGATGATGGTGATGATGGTGGCGATGGTGATGTTGATGGTGGTGATGATGGTGGTGATGATGGTGGTGATGGTGATGTTGATGGTGGTGATGATGGTGATGATGGTGGTGGTGATGATTGTGATGATGGTGGTGATGGTGATGTTGATGGTGGTGATGGTGGTGATGATGGTGGTGATGGTGATGTTGATGGTGGTGATGGTGGTGGTGATGGTGGTGGTGATGGTGATGTTGATGGTGGTGGTGATGGTGATGATGGCAGGTGATGATGGCAGGTGATGGTGGTGGTGATGGTCGATGGTGCTACGTTGCTGGATGCTATGCTACACACTGGTTGTGGGTGTCGCCTCTTCCCCTCTGACTCTCACCGGGCCTCATCCCATCCCTTACCGTGTTTCTGATGTTTCAATCACCATTTCACCCATTTCATCCCCATGTATCTTTCATATGATCCTCAAACGCCATTCCAACCACCCACCACTCCAACCCCAACCCAACCCCTATCCACCTGCTATGTTTCTTAAGAATTCTAATAAAAGTCCAACCCCTACCCAATCCCGATCCACCTGCTCTGCACCTCCTTCCCATCCTCCCGAGCAGCATAGTGAGGTGGCGCTACGAGGTGACGCCCATCGATGGCTGGGGGCCCAGGGGCGGCACACAGCTGTCAACCGCTGGTTGGCTCTCTGCGCTGCCCGCTTTTGAACCGCACTGGCAGGTGAGGGTGACGTGGCAGGTGATGCTGACGTGGCAGCTGGGGAGCCAGGACTGGAGATTCTGAGTGTGTTTCTAGTCGTCTCAAAAGACTGCAGTTGCAGATGCAGCTGATGTGGCAGCTGATGTGGCAGCTGATGAGCCGTCGCCTTGTCATTACGGCATACACCAACCATGTCCCCACACGCCCCGCATCCCCGCCCCTTCCCCCACAGGTGTGCATGGGCATGGGCGAGCCAGGGTGTGGGGGGATTGCCGGGGCCTGGGGACCACCGATGAGATCGCTGCTCCCTTTTGAGTCATCCGAGAGACTCTATCGTCGCCCCCCATCACCCCCCATCGTCCCCCAGCACCCCCCATCACCCCCCAATGCCCCATCACGCCCCATCACCCCCAAACGCCCTCCATCACCCCCCATCGCCCCACGCAGGTGTGCATGGCGATGGGGCGAGCAAGCGGGTGGGTGGAGTGGCAAGGGCACCGCGTTGACTTCACAGACGCCGTCACCTACTCTGAGAAGAACTGGGGGGGCGCCTTCCCGCTCAAATGGTTCTGGGTATGACACAGACGCCAATGTTGAGGGGGGTCGGCTGGGTTCAGAGTAACGCAGAGCAGAGACGTCTCAATCCTGCTGCGCGGAGTCGCTTTAAAACCCGCGGGGCAAGAACCTCCAAATTGGTTCAACCTTCCTAACTTCGGTTGAGTGTGACCCTGTCACCCAAAATCCTGGCCGATTGCGTCTCTCGCCCCAACCAGCCCTCCTAGCTTTGAGCAATTTGGCCCGCGGGGTTTTAAGTCTGTAGGGCAGAGAAGGTCAGGTGCAGGCAGTTTAGTGCCTGGTTTACCTCTCCTGTGATCGCATCCTATCCGTGCCATCCGCTGCTTCCCACCTCTCCTTCCCTTCCCTATTTTCTCCCCGCTTCCCACCTCTCCTTCCCTTCCCTATTTTCTCCCCGCTTCCCACCTCTCCTTCCCTTCCCTGTTTTCTCCCCGCTTCCCACCTCTCCTTCCCTTCCCTATTTTCTCCCCGCTTCCCACCTCTCCTTCCCTTCCCTATTTTCTCCCCGCTTCCCACCTCTCCTTCCCTTCCCTATTTTCTCCCCGCTTCCCACCTCTCCTTCCCTTCCCTATTTTCTCCCCGCTTCCCACCTCTCCTTCCCTTCCCTATTTTCTCCCCGCTTCCCACCTCTCCTTCCCTTCCCTATTTTCTCCCCGCTTCCCACCTCTCCTTCCCTTCCCTATTTTCTCCCTGCTTCCCACCTCTCCTTCCCTTCCCTATTTTCTCCCCGCTTCCCACCTCTCCTTCCCTTCCCTATTTTCTCCCCGCTTCCCACCTCTCCTTCCCTTCCCTATTTTCTCCCCGCTTCCCACCTCTCCTTCCCTTCCCTATTTTCTCCCCGCTTCCCACCTCTCCTTCCCTTCCCTATTTTCTCCCCGCTTCCCACCTCTCCTTCCCTTCCCTATTTTCTCCCCGCTTCCCACCTCTCCTTCCCTTCCCTATTTTCTCCCCGCTTCCCACCTCTCCTTCCCTTCCCTATTTTCTCCCCGCTTCCCACCTCTCCTTCCCTTCCCTATTTTCTCCCCGCTTCCCGCCTCTTCTTCCCTTCCCTACTTTCTCCCCGTTTCCCACCTCTTCTTAATCAAATTTTATCCCCGTTTCCCACTTCCTTACCTCCCTGTCTCCCCCCCTCAGATTCAGTGCAATGTGTGGTCGCACGTGTCACTGGGGTCCGCGGTGGCGCTCACAGTGGCAGGAGCGAAGCGGCAGCTCAACCTGCCTCTGCTCGCCAACTCCGTTGAGGAAGTGGGCATGGTGAGCCGCGGGGATACACTGAGAGAGGCAGGGAGTATACGGTTGGGGTGCCTCAAAATGGCGCTCACAGGGGCAGGGGCGAAGCGGCAGCCTCTGCTGGCCACCATGCTGGTGAGGCATGGTGAGGCATGGTGAGGCATGGTGAGGCATGGTGAGATGAAGGTGGGCATGGTGACATCGTTTTCTCCCAACCTTTTCCTCCCACTTACCCTCCACTTTCGCCCCTTATCTTGTCCAAACCATGCAGGTGGGGCTGCACTGGCAGGGGCAGTTCATCGAGTTTGTGCCCAACAGAGGGGTGGTGGAGTGCCAGTCACTCCCAAAGTCCTCCCTTCCTTTGAGGCCCTCTTGAATCCCCACATACCAGCCTTCTCTTTGGCTCTCTTTGCATACAGGTAGGGCTGCACTGGCAGGGGCAGTTCATCGAGTTTGTGCCCAACAGGGGGGCCGTGGAGTGGAAGGTGCAGCCGTGGGGCAGCTGGCACATGCACGCTCACAACGAGCAGTACGAGGTGAGGAGGAGTGGTGAGAGGTGAGGCGGAGTGGTGTGAGGTGAGAACGAGCTGTATGAGGTGAGATCGAGCAGTACGAGGTGACGGGGATTGGTGTGTGGTGACATTGAGGAGAAAGTTCGCAGTTTTTTTTCACTCTCGTTTTCAGTTTCCCTCACTGTTCCTCACTGTTCCTCACTGTTCCTCACTGTTACCTGAGAGCACCGTCACATGCCCCATCTGCCCCCCTCGCTTCCCCCACTGCTCCTCGCCCTCCCCTCCTGCCAGGTAACAGTGGAGGCGCACACACTCCCGGGCGACAACGGCATGTGAGGTGCCTTAAAAGTCCTCACCTTGCTCTTCCCCCTTTCCACCCCCTCCCCCTCTACCAGGTAACAGTGGAGGCGCACACACTCCCGGGCGACAACGGCATGTGAGGTGCCTTAGAAGTCCTCACCTTGCTCTTCCCCCTTTCCACCCCCTCCCCCTCTACCAGGTAACAGTGGAGGCGCACACACTCCCGGGCGACAACGGCATGTGAGGTGCCTTAGAAGTCCTCACCTTGCTCTTCCCCCTTTCCACCCCCTCCCCCTCTACCAGGTAACAGTGGAGGCGCACACACTCCCGGGCGACAACGGCATGTGAGGTGCCTTAGAATTCCTCACCTTGCTCTCCCCCCTTTCCACCCCCTCCCCTCTACCAGGTAACAGTGGAGGCGCACACACTACCGGGCGACAATGGCACGCCTCTGAGGGCGCCAACAGCGGAGGGCATGAGGTTTTTCTGCAAAGACTCGTTTGACGGCCGGGTCAAGCTGGAGCTGCGCCAGCGGTACTCGGGGCAGGTGAGGCTCTCCCGACTCAAAAGAAAAATCACAGTAGTGACTGGATATAAATTTCTCTGTTGCGACACAAAAAAAAAATCTCTAACGTTACTCGGATGGGGCAGGTCCGGCAGGACTTTTGAGTCGACTCAAAAGTCAACTCGGATGGGGCAGGCCCGGCAGGTGGGGTATGTGAAGCTTCATGGATGCTTGGAGAGATGCGTCCGTGCTTGCTGCTGCTTTGGTCATTCCCCATCTGGACCACTCGCCTCTTCTTTACTTCTAGCTCCTTCTCCCCTCCCTCGCTACCCCACCTCTCAATGCTCATATATTTTACGGCCGCGGATAAGTGTAGAGCAGCAGCAGAGGGAACTGTACCCATTGGACGCGTACATTTCCACTCTGAGACAGCAGAGGGCACAGTAACTGTCGTGTTGAGTTTTGAGACGTCTGAAAACTAAGGCAGCAGTGGGCCGAATAAATGTCACTTCATTTTTGAGGCGTCTAAGAAAGAGTAGCAGGCAGAGAGCATTGAGGACCTTGAAATAGCACATCCCGATTCGGAAAACTGTCACTCTTCTTTTGCACATCCTTCAATTGATCCATCTAGCCGCCCCTCCCACCCACTCCCACCAGCTTCTCCTGGCGCCACGGACAGCAGCAAGGCAGCTCCTTCAAAGTGTTAATTTTGCCTTTCTTACAGAAAGTGTTAATCCCGCATGCAATCGTATCGTGCCCCCTCTTGCTCCCACCAGTTCCTTTTGGAGGCACGAAACACTTGAGCAGCGGTGGCGGTCCTTGAAAGAATTGCTTCTCTCCATTTGTACAATGTTTCCCTTGCTCAGGCCATTACCCCCCTCCCCCACTCCCACCACTTGTTCCTAGAGACGGGGAGCAAGGCAGCAGCAAGGCAGAAACCCCTGAACTGAAAGTCGGTTGATTCTCCATTGTATTGTAATTGAACCCCCCATGCCATCACACACACCCCCTCCTCCCTCCAGTTACTCCTGAGGGCGGAGAGCACAGCAGCAGCGGTGGAGGTGGGAGGCGGGCCGTGGTGGGAGGCATGGGAGCAGAGGAGCCGCATGAACCCCGCCCAGAGCGCTGTTATCTCGCTGCCTCTCAACCTCTCCTCCCTGCTCCCGCCCTCCCTGCAACCTCCGGGCCTGTGACTCAACCGTGTGCCATCATGCCGGCCCGTGCCATCATTATGCCTGTCCTTCCCTGAAGCTGTCACATCGTGCAGCACATGAACGCACTCATTATTCTGTACTGTATAATGTCAGGGTTTGTTCTTCATGTCAGTACCATTGTTGCACTGCACAGGGTTGAAATGGAATGGAGAGCATCACCTGTGGGCTGTAATGGATACCACAAGGTGCTCCGATTAACAGTGTTACCGTACCGTAAAATTCTATTTGTATAGTTTCCCTCGTTACCCACCTTCACACTAGCAACACTCGCTACCGCGCTACCCTCCCAGCCGAGTTCCTAGAGAGGAACCCGCCCCCGATGTACATCACTCTCTACTTCATAGTCACCCGCCTCCCTGACTCTCTTCGTGCAGTCAGGGACCACTTTCTCGCACTTGACCCCACAGACCTCACTGTGGACTTGCTTGAGAAGCACCTCCTTGCAGGCCCCTCGTGGAAAACCACATCCCTGCTTTCCACCACCCGCTGATCCGCCACAATCCACAACATCCAAGCCTTACTCCTTTCCGACACCCCAGTGAAAATGCCACATTGTGCCTTGGGTCCGGTTCAGCCGCTCCGCTGCCCCATTTTGCTGCGGCGTGTAAATAACAGAAAGCTGGTGGGTGATGCTCTTGTCTTCAAGCCAACCATTCCCATGTGAGGAAGATTAAGGTACCGTATCACCCCAGATAGTAGCGCATATGCGCTTATAATAAAATCAGTTATTAAGGGGGGCGCTTGTAATTGAGTATCGGCCATAAGCGCCGGCGCTTATAGAATGACAAAATACAGAAATACAACTTAAACGCACCAAATTGTACATTTCAATCGAATCGAAATTTTACAGCGTCCAGAATCAGAATCAAGTGTCAAACATATATGCTTAGTTATATCTAGGCTTAGTTCATGTGTTTACATTTGTCTAGGCTATAGTGGGTTTAGTCTTAGGGGGTACAGAATTCTCTCGACATTCTACTTGTACCCTTCCTTGCTTCCTAGTCATCCATTCTCGCCTAAGATTCTAACATGGTATCAGAGCAATTAAGTCTTAGGACCTAATCTCAATGGGCCCACCACCTACTGCACTGCCCGTACCTAGCCCGTCGACTTCGTCGCCCGCGCCCGGCCCGTACCTAGCCCGTCGCCCGGCCCGTATCTAGCTCGTCGCCTCGGCCCCGCTGGCCCCGTCGACTTCGTCGCCCGCGCCCGGCCCGTACCTAGCCTGTCGCCCGGCCCGTACCTAGCCCGTCGCCCAGCCTGTACGTAGCCCGTCACCTCGGCCCCGCTGGCCCCGTCAATTTCGTCGCCTGTGCCCGGCCCGTACCTAGCCTCGCGCCAGGTCCCTTACCTGCCCAGCGCCCGGCCCCATACCTGCCCAGTGCCTGGCCCCGTCCCAGCCCAGCACCTGGCCCTGCAAGTGCCCAGCGCCAGGCCCTGTACCTGCTTTGGCCCCTCGGCCCCCTAGGCCCCTTGTTTGGCCCCTCGGCCCCCTAGGCCCCTCGGCCCCCTCCTAGGCCCCTCAGCCTCTTGTTTGGCCCCGCGGCCCCTAGGCCCATCGGCCCCACCTCAGAGACCGGCGCCTCGCCCCCCCCCCCCCCCCCCCCCCGGCCCCTTGTTTGGCCCCTCGGCCCCCTAGGCCCCTCGCCCCCCCCCCCCTAGGCCCCCCGGCCCCCTGTTTGGCCCCGCGGCCCCTAGGCCACTCGGCCCCACCTCAGAGACCGGCGCCCGGCCCCCCCGGCGCCTTGTTTGGCCCCTCGGCCCCCTAGGCCCCTCGGCCCCCCCTAGGCCCCCCGGCCCCCTGTTTGGCCCCGCGGCCCCTAGGCCACTCGGCCCCACCTCAGAGACCGGCGCTCGGCCCCCCGGCCCCTTGTTTGGCCCCTCGGCCCCCTAGGCCCCTCGGCCTCCTGTCTGGCCCCGCGGCCCCGCGGCCCCTCGGCCCCACCTCAGAGACCGGCGCCCGGCCCCCCGGCCCCTTGTTTGGCCCCTCGGCCCCCTAGGCCCCTCGGCCCCCCCCTAGGCCCCCCGGCCCCCTGTTTGGCCCCGCGGCTCCTAGGCCACTCGGCCCCACCTCAGAGACCGGCGCCCGGCCCCTTGTTTGGCCCCTCGTCCCCCTAGGCCCCTCGGCCCCCCCTAGGCCCCCCGGCCCCCTGTTTGGCCCCGCGGCCCCTAGGCCACTCGGCCCCACCTCAGAGACCGGCGCCCGGCCCCCCGGCCCCTTGTTTGGCCCCTCGGCCCCCTAGGCCCCTCGGCCCCCCCCTAGGCCCCCCGGCCCCTTGTTTGGCCTCGCGGCCCCTAGGCCACTCGGCCCCACCTCAGAGACCGGTGCCCGGCCCCCCGGCCCCTTGTTTGGCCCCTCGGCCCCCTAGGCCCCTCGGCCCACCCTAGGCCCCCCGGCCCCCTGTTTGGCCCCGCGGCCCCTAGGCCACTCGGCCCCACCTCAGAGACCGGCGCCCGGCCCCCCGGCCCCTTGTTTGGCCCCTCGGCCCCCTAGGCCCCTCGGCCCCCCCCCTAGGCCCCTCGGCCCCTTGTTTGGCCCCTCGGCCCCCCTAGGCCCCTTGGCCCTCCCTAGGCCCCTCGGCCCCTTGTTTGGCCCTGCAGCCCCTAGGCCCCTCGGCCCCACCTCGGAGACCGGCGCCCGGCCCCCCCGGCCCCTTGTTTGGCCCCTCGGCCCCCTAGGCCCCTCGGCCCCCCCCTAGGCCCCCCGGCCCCTTGTTTGGCCCCGCGCCCCCCAGGCTCCTCTGCCCCTATGGCTTTGCTTCGAGTTCTCCCGTTCGACCCAGAGGGTAGACCTGTAGCATTTGACACGTGGCACGACGATCTGCAACTGTACCTACTGAGCGACAGTCGGGACAGTGTCTCGCTGTTTGACCTCGTGTCCGGTGCCGCTCCAGTCCCTCCCGCCCCAGGGTCCTGCTCCCTCGGGAGTGTCTCAGGTAGACCCTCTCCCTGGTACTGCGCCTGTTCAGGTAGCTGTCGTCTCAGGTGCTGCTCCAGGTGCTGCGTCTGGGGGTGCTGCGTCTGGGGGTGCGGAGCCGGGGGGTGCGGGGTCTGAGGGTGCTGGGTCTGGGGGTGCTGAGCCTGAGGGTGCTGGGTCTGGGGGTGCTGAGCCTGAGGGTGTTGAGCCTGGGGGTGCTGAGTCGGAGGGTGCGGAGCCTGAGGGTGCTGAGTCGGAGGGTGCGGAGTCAAGGGGTGCTGAGCCTCGGGGTGCTGCTTCGTCTGGAGGTCCTGCTGGTGCTTCACCGCGACTGTCCTCGCAGCAGCTGCGTGAGTGGCTTGTTCAGCGAGCACACCGACGGAGTGGGGCTCCCGGAGCTGGCGAGCCTGGAGACGCTGGAGCTGGAGGTGCTGCTGTTACTACTGGAGCTGGAGACCCTACGGAGCCTGGAGTAGCTGGCGTCGGAGGCGCTGGAGCTGGTGTAGCTGGAGCTGTTGACCCTGGTGCTGGAGGCACTGTGCGGCCGCGCCCGTACTTCGTTCCCCTGCTTCAGCAGGTTCTTGGTGTCCCGTCTTCTCCTGGTCTTCCTCCTCCCTTCCTGTGTCCACCGCCTGACCAGTCGCAGCCGCCGTTACAGCCAGCCTCCCCACTGTCTGTTCCCTCTCCTTACGCTGAGCAGTCTGGAGGTCTTACAGAGCGTCGTGAGCCTGCGTCTCGTCCTGTCTCGCCTGTTCACACTGCTCGTCGTGCTCCTCGTCCTCGTCCTCCTCCTGTCCCAGGCACACACACCATGGCACTCCGTCCTTCCTCTGTTCCACTGCGTGTTCCTCTACCTGCTTCTCCTGAGTCCTCTCTTCCTGCGGTCCCTGACCCTGAGTCTGACCGAGCGCGTGCTGCCAGTCCCACTGTCGCTCGTCTCCTTGCCACTACTGTCACTGACCCGTCCTTTGAGTCTGCTGCTGCTTCTGCTCTCGTTGCTGAGCTACTTGACTTTGCTGCTGCCTGCCGTCTCGACTATGCCTCTGCTCTAGTTGCTGAGTCTGTGCCTGCCAGTCCTCCGTCCGTCGGGGGTGAGTGTGCTCTTGGCACGGACGTCCTTGAGGACAGGCAGGAGGACTTTGAGTGTCTTGCAGCTGCTGTACCTCGTTTTGCCTCCTTGCTGCTTGCCCCTGAGGGAGACCCGAATGGTCCTGACATCCCGACCCCGCGCTCTTACGCAGAGGCGATTACGGGTCCTTACTCCTCTCAGTGGCAGGCAGCAATGGATGCCGAGATGGCATCCTGGAAGTCCACAGGCACTTACGTCGACGAGGTTCCCCCACCTGGGGTGAACATAGTCGATGGCATGTGGATCTTCAGGGTGAAGCGGCCGCCGGGTTCTCCACCTGCCTTCAAGGCGCGCTACGTTGCTCTAGGTTTCAGTCAGCGACAGGGAGTTGACTACTTCCAGACCTTCTCCCCCACCCCGAAGATGACTACTCTCGGGAATTGCTGCACGTAGTTGCTCAGCGTGACTACGAGTTACACTCCCTGGACTTCAGTACTGCTTTCCTGCAGGGCAGCCTGCACGAGGAGATCTGGCTGCGCCGACCACCTGGTTTCACTGGGTCTTTTCCTACAGGTACCCAGTGGAGCCTCCGCCGGCCAGTCTACGGTCTCCGCCAGGCGCCTCGCGAGTGGCACGACACACTCAGGACTACACTTGCGGCTCTTGGGTTTGTTCCTTCTACAGCAGACCCGTCGCTGTTTCTACGCACCGACACCTCGTTGCCGCCCTTCTACGTCCTAGTGTACGTCGACGACCTCGTCTTTGCCACGACTGACACTGAGGCACTGACCCTAGTGAAGTCCGAGCTGCAGAAGAGACATACCTGCACTGACCTGGGTGAACTGCGCAGCTACCTTGGCCTGCAGATCACCCGGGACAGAGCACGGCGCACCATCACACTGACTCAGTCACACATGGTGCACCAGGTCCTTCAGCACTTCGGCTTCCAGTACTCCTCGCCACAGCTCACTCCTCTGTCTACCAGCCACTCGC